ATGCAATTCCAATGGACGAATGGTACAGCCAGCATTTGTAGCTGAAGGAAATAATAAAAAACGCATTAATTAGCAAACGAGGACACAATTGATAAAAAATCACAAGTGAAATAAATATATTTTGAAAAAATAATGTGCGTTATAAACTGCATCACCCAACTTATCATCTTTTAGACACGTGGGACACTACCAATTTATTTTTTAATCTCAAGAATGGACAGGTACAACTTGGGTATGGACCATATTAAATGAATCGGAATAATTATTCAGTATAATGCACAATAAAAACTTGACACTGTGCAATGTTCAATGTTAGGTCTTTGTCCCTTAGTCAGTTTTCTGTGGGTTCCTTATTGGACACGATTCCAAACGTCTCCAGGTGTAAAGCCTTGGCTATATTTTGTAAAGCTCTTTGGTCCAAATCCTTACTTTCAATCACAAAGTTCCTGTTATTATCAATGTCGGAACCTGACAATCCGTCATTATCGTTATGTTCTATGGCTTGTTTTTCTGACGGTTTCTCTGTTGATGGACACTGTTGCAGCAATATCTTCTCATCGTGGTGGAATCCTCCCTTCTTCGCCAATTCGAGAGCTTCCTTCAAATAACCCTCGGAAACTTCATGCTTTCCTCTATAGTTATAATACTTAGCTTTTGCTCTATAAAAATGCATTCGCCTGCGTATATCTATCACTGAATCATATTGTTCTGTTTCTAACAAACATAAACTGGCATTTTCCAAGTCCTGATCATCAACCACAGCCCCCTCAATAGTTTCTCCGTCGCTGTTTAATCCCAGAAGACAACACGTCTTTTTGTCCAGGTAAATACAGCGCCAATTATTTCGAGCATCCTCATTTTCATTAACGAAATATTGAATTCCAGACTCAATATAATCAAGTATTTCCTTTTTCAAATTAGTATTCGAATTTCGAGCATACAATTCAAGTTTGATATTGACAAGAGCAAATATAATATTTCCAATATCCTTACCAGACATGTACAATGTGGCATCGCCTAATGCAAGAGATAGATATTGCAATCCTTTCTCAATTTTGTCCCCTTGAAACAAAGACACTCCAAAACGGCTCTGATAGCGAATTCTTGTCAGTGTTGGATGACCTGTTTTAGGAATGAGATACTCCATACTCTTGAATTCCTCTTTTCCAAACAGAGACTTGCGGTTCTCACTGTGAGTCCTATACAACACAACCAACGCATCAAGCAACACAAAGCAACAGTCGGCATACTTTCTTTCTTCTATGGGGTCCAAACTTCCACGCTTGATTGCGTTAAGTAAGGTCCTGCTCCACGCCTCAAATTTCGTCATGCAATCCCTTGCTTCTGCATTATGAATCTTCATCTTCACTTTATCCGAAAAGTTTTCAATAAGTTTTTGACTCTCCAGATTCAGGCCGCAAGCAGGTGGTATCGCGTACATCTTTGCCTTCTGAACAGGCTGGGTGCCACTTTCCAGTTCCCTGCAAAGATCCTCGTGTCCCGAATCTTCTAAACACTGAATGATCAACCCCGAACTGCATTTTCTGTATAGTTTTAACAGCAGCCTGGAGCACTCTTCTCTGGAGTTTCTCGATAATAATTTCTCATAGTCTTTAAGATGAATCACGTGGCTGTCCAGCAACGCCCTGGCAAAATATGGAAGCTGGATATTTTCAGCCAAGTAGGAATGGTACTTAATCGAAATTGTAATATCCCTTTCGACCATATTACAAATCCATGCTCATGAAACTACAGATATCATGGCTATGACTTTTGTAAACTTTAGATTGACACAGATATAAACTTCGTCAAAAGCCTCAAGGATGACGGTTGATAAGGTTCGGTGAATTTAGTCGAGTGTCGTGTATCACAGCAATTTAAATACACTTGCAATATTTAAAGGGTTATCCAACAAAAGAAGTGCAATTCTTAGAGAGAATGCCATAATTTGTAAATTTTAGAAATGACTAAACGTTATGACCATTCATAACCAACAGGAATCCGTCATGAAGATAAACATGCGATGATATTATTTTTTTAAGACTCGGTAATAATAAAACTTCCGCTTTGGTCGGCATCACATGACTGGAAATATTTTTATGTAGTGAAACTAATCCAACATTTTAAAGGTCCTTTTTTGTACAGTGAAACGACAACTGGTCGTAATGGACAAATGAATCAAAACTGAAAGTTTATCATCAGGTCTCATATAAAAAATTCCAAAATGTGGTTGTTAAACTCGTATGCCCAGAAACGTGGTCAGGTTTTGATGCGAACACTATAGATCATGGACATACGATTTACAATTCTCTGTTGACAGATACAATAGACAGAACAAAATCATTTATTGTAAGACTCAAGGCATAATAACCCTAAAGGATCTGATGAAATACCTAGGGTTATGATTATTTGGAGAGAAAAAAAAACTTTCTTCGTATTATAAAAACAAGCAAACATAAAATGTGCAATTTTTTTATTGCTTTTCGAAATCATCACTCTAAACAAATACAAGTCAATGAAATGGAGAAAATTTAACAACTATTTTATGAGCATTTATTGAGATTTAAAAAAAAATTTAAACTCCGAGCACCCTAGTTCAAACTGGAAGCACATCGCATATCGCTGTCCGTTTTTGGAGGATCAATGACAAGGTTCGAGCAACACCGTGCCTTCTGAGGGCGGACCGTCTGGTGATTCAGGGGGTTGATTCTGCGCCTGGTGTAGAGACGGGGACCTGGCATCCAGGGGCAAACGACGAAGGCCTCCTCTTCTTTGTGTGGGGAATACGCACGGTACACAATGCGGAAATTTTCCAGCAACTTTTTCGGGCGAATAGTGTCTGCGTAAAGTTTTTCCCAGTGTTCAAGGGAATGAACGACACACGCCTTTTGCATATTGTGATAGAACTCATCCATTGCTTTTCTGGCCTTAAAGCAAAAAAATTAACAATAAATGTTCAATTGTCATCAAATAATTGGCAAGAGCGAGATGCTATATTATACTCACTTGCTCTCTGATGTTAGGCAAATCGTCAATGGTGGGGCGATGCTGCCTGGGATACTTAATTTTCAGAACTGGAAGTGGCACAAAGACTTGTTCTATCTTTGGTATTGTCCATCCGCAATGTTTCTTCCATTTGGTTTTCGCATCTACAAAAATTTAAGGCAAAATTAAATACTGACGTTTTGTACATAATACATGTATACTGATTGAGATAAACTAATATATTGCATATTATATTAATATTTTAATAAAATGTTACATGGGAAATTCGTTCTGCAAAATCAATTTTAATACTGAATTTGTTACAATAAGTTAAATATGATCAAATGATGGCTTCCTGTTTAGCTGCTAACCTTTTGGTTTTTCTTCTTTGATGTTTTCAAAAGGGGTAGATTTGATACCAAGGGACATGTTGAATTTTTTGTTCACTGCAATTAAAAAAAATAACATTGAACCACTGCTTCAATGGCAACAGTAGAAATAATATCGGAAACGGTAAAATATATGCATAATTCTTCTAACACTTCAGAAATGCGGTGAATATATACAGAAATGGATTTAATGATGCAGCTGAATAAGAGAAAGCATTTATCGTTTTTCCCCTTACTGATTTGTCTCTTTATCTTATTGATGAGATCCCCGCCGGGAAGTTTGGTCACTATACTCTCCCTGCCCAAGCCGCCGGGAAACCTCCTGTTGGTGAATTCCTGCAAAATTATCGATAGCTCTGTATACACACAGCTGTCATTTCTACATATTACAAAAAACATTTTCTTCAAGATCAGAAACATGTTTTTACGTTGTAATTTAAACATTTTTAAAGCTTTTTTACCGTTGTTGGAGAATCCGTTTTCGGTTCTTCTCTGACTTCGGGTTGTTCTGATGTTGATCTTTTGGGAGTTGTGACGTTGACCAGGTCTGTTTTTAGCTTGTATTTACTGCTGAATTCTTTATTGCCGAACTGTAAATATGGTTTTTAAAAATAATTAAGTTAGTTTTTTTTTTTACTTTTTCATATACCAGGGGTGTAAGAACTAGTAACATTTTTTCTATATAATATTTTTTCAAAGATAACTTTTCAGAGAACTTTATTATAAGAAGAAAAACTGTAACATTCTTCTGGTGTTTTCTATCAAGTCGTAGTTTTAACTATCATCAAATAGATATTCTCGTTACCTGTCCCGGTCGGTGCATGGCTTTCATTTTCCTGCCTGTTGTTGGAGAAACGAACTGCAGAGGTTTGGCGTACGGCGAATCCGTGTTTCGCGCGTTTTCTTGCATTTCTTTCATTTGGAGCGCAAGTTGACGATCAGTGAGACCAACCAGACGTAAGCCTGCAGTGTAGTGGCTGAGGACATGCGGTTGACGTTTGGTGATGTACCGGAAGTCCTCACCAAGACTCCGCTTTAGAGAGAACTGTGTGATGGCCGTGTAGAACAACCTCTGACGACGGGAGAATATCCCTTTCTTCCTCTTGTCTGCGTCTACGAATTCAAAATACCTTTGAATATTTATTAATCTTCATTCTAATAGGAAATTGTTCAATGCATTCTATATGATTGTACAAGGAACTAGAATAGGAATGTTTGAACCAGATATAGTACATCATATCAACGTTGAGATATAATTTTTTTTTATTTCATAAAATTGAATGCTCGTTTGGAATAATTTGCTTGGTTTTTGTTGAACATAAGGTTGCATCTTTTTCATTTTGCAAGATTTCATCAATAAAACGTACCCTCTCCCCCAAGTCCCTCTAGAAGATCCCCTTGGGTCATATGGAATAGGAATTCATCAAAATCAATTTCTCCGTTTCCATCCTTGTCCAGTTTCTTTAGGACCGTTTCCACTTCCTCCCTCGTGATGTCGCTGTCCACTCGCTTCAGCCCCTCGTAGAGGCTGTCAGCGTTCAGTGTACCGGTGTTGGCGGCATCCAACATGTCGAACAGCTAATGGCGAAATTTTGGAATAGAGGAAAGAGTATCGAAAAGAGGAGTTAGGCACAATCTGCACAATTATATATATACACAGGGACACTTTTGATCCAATATGAATGTTACTAACCCTAATGTCACTTGATTACCAAAATTCCTATTTTTTTTTCATTTTCTTCTTCGGTATTAGTAATTAAAAAAAAGATTATTTTAATTACTCAGTACCTACCCTATATAATCCTGATGAAATATTGACAAACAATTACTCCTAAACAATATGCAGTTTTCTTTTGACACTTAAATTCTAATTACAATAAAATGTGGTAAAGTAGTCAGTAAAGTAACAAGTTTTAAGAGAATTTTCTATCATACAGAAAAGCTGTTATGGCGTGTTTTCCAGAAGCTTTGAAGTAACATCATAGTTTTATCATGTTATGTGATCTGAAAAATATTCTGAAGTATGAGAAAATACCTCGCTTTCCATAATATACATGTATATAGGAGACAAACACAAGTAGTCAAAAAATGTAGAGATATATCAATGTATTGATGTGTAAAATTTTGTATTTTTTATGAGGCGATTATGCAATTATCTTTTGAAAATATAAACTATATTCCCTGAATCATTTCCTTATCTTAATTTAGAGCTAATTAAAAAACTAGGTTAAATGTCTGTGTAAGCAATGCATATGTCTCAGGTGATCGCTGTAGCCCATGTGCCTTCTGCTTTTAGTCGTTTTAACTGCGTGTATTTGGCTATTTATTACTTTCAATGTGTCGCCTGCATGGCACAGGGATTAGAACGAATAAAGATCGTGGGTCCGAATCGTACTGTGGGACATTAAGACTGATCCTTCGGATGAAACCTTATAAAACGATCTTCCGCAGTAGGAGCTTGCCAAAAAAAAAAAAAATCCCGCACTGCTTATAATACTAAGCACCGAGCGCAGGTTTGAATTTTCAGCCTCCCAACGTAAAGTGGTGGCATCTCAATATGGGTGAAAAATTCTCCAAGAGATGTTAAAACAAACAAAAAAGTATTACAGGTGCCTAATGTTGTTAGGTACAATGTACCTTCGAAAGTTTCTCCCTAATAAATAAAATGTTACATTTTTAACCATCAAAAGTACGATCTTTCGTACCCTCTTTATTTTTACTTGCATCCTATTCCTGGAGTTTTTATTTCCTGGTAAGTGTAGGTTCAATTTTTTTTTTTCTGAGTATTGTAACAAAATAATTGTTACAAACAATATTGGTTGTCAATGTTTTCCGGTTTGCAAACTTAATTAATTACTGAAAATGCCATTTAAAATTTCCTGATTTGCTACGGTATAATATGTTGTAACTTGATGTATGTAGATAATCGTGTACAGCAAACAAAGACGAGCAAAAGAAATAAATCCGGAAATTTACTCAAAAGAAACTACTATAGTATTTGTTTCATTTCTCTTACTATTTAGAATAAATCTTAACGAGTGAAAAATTTTATTTCCTTCGTATTAGTTTTATATCTGTTGGAATTGTCGAAAAAAAATGTCTATCTTCCATGTTTCAATTTGTTTTCTTTCATTCATAAAAGTGCCTTTGAAAATTATTCTTTAATCTTTTTCCTCAAAATGCGTAGGATCATCATGTATTGTAACAATTGCCATGCTATTCTCAAAATTTTCATGGAGAAAAGCAAAATTGATTCAATTGCATACATGTACTTGATTTACTTTTTTTCGGTTTAAATAATTGGAAGATATATTCAGAGACATAAATAATGTCTCTGATATAATGCAAAGTGGGTCGTAATCTACCGCTGAAAAATTTTATTGTAAACCATAATGAATTAACATATTCAATATTTAATATTTCATTTTTTTTCTAATATGTACAGTAACACCCCACCAGCTTTTCTATTTTTATCCGATTTTGGATTTATATAATAAAGTAACATCCTCTCCCCCATGACCACGAAACGCATCCCGAAACACAAATTTATCATGATTATTGTGTCATGTGTTACAGAAAAGAAAAAAAAAAGTTCATTCATTTAACGCTAATCATTTTCACCCAATAGAGTTTTTTTGTTTTGTTCTTTTTTATCTGTTTATATTTATTTTTTTAGGGGGGGGGTTGAAAATTTTTATGGGTTAGGATGACCATCTCCTACCTCCTCTCTTTTAAGAAAATTCTTGGATCCGCCCATACTGGGAAGAAGATACGATTAGCGAACTTAATTTTGGGATCTTTAAAAATTTGAATAACGTCTCCAAAAATAAATCACAATGTTTACTACTCACATCTTTGAAAGCTGACACGTTGTCTTCGGTTAGGTCCACAAACCATTCCGGTAAGTCTATAGAGAACAGAATATTTATAATGTTACTTAATACACATTACTTGTATATGAATATGTTAATTACTAGTACACGTATATGAAACACATATCTGTATATCATTTAACTAAATAGTAATTCATGCACAATGAAACTCCGCAATCTTTGAGATTTTAGAAAAATGGTAAAAACTAAGTCCCGATGACAAAAGATTTACCAGAATTAAGAATTTGAATTGTAGGATATATAAATTAAGTTTACAATAATTTCATTTTCGTCACAGTTGTTGTATTAAAATTAAAATGTAAAACCCAAAACATAAAAAAAAAAAAATTAAAAATTATAATAACATTGCTATTTATGTTTGTTGTACAACCGTACCTCCATTATCACAAGAAATACTGGAAGGTTGTGTTTGAGCGCTAAATCGCCGACTTTCTTCGTGATTTCCAACACCACCCGATGATTCTTGCTCTTCAAAATTCTATAAAATATTACGAATTATCAGACTATAGATGACAATATGAAACATTACTATAACTTTACACCAACAATTTCTTTAACTTAATAGAAACTTTAATTGATTTTTTTTTTGTCTGAAATCACTGATTGCGAGATATTCATTCCTTGAATTTTTAACAATGAAAAATCGAATTAATAAAAACGAAAGAAAGAAAAATAGAATGAATGAAAAAAGTGAAAGTTTTGTGTACATACAAATTCAATTCAACCTACCATTTTGCTTTTAGCTGAGTGAGTCAGTTTTCGAAGGAGACCAAGTGCAGGGACATCCTCGGATTTTTGCGCCTTAATCATTTCAGGCTTTGCTTTCTTCTTATTTTTCTTCATTGGTGTTTTTCTCGCCATGTTTAGCCTTTACAATTAAATCCTTATTTGTGACCTCACGCGTTTATGACATCACTTATCTATGGCGTCATAGAATAGTACTGTGACGTTACCAACTTAGAGAGAGAGGGAGAGAGAGAATTGAGAATCCACCAAGAAGATTAACATATTGTGAAAAGAATATTTTGGCTGAGAGGTGTTTCAAAATTTTCTAAGTATAAATAAAACTTAAATTTATCAACTGATTAAAAAAAAAAGATTTTTATTTATTGATAGTATTGTCCATGACTTAAAAAATGGAAAATGTGATCCTGTGCAAGTAAACAATATTCATGTAAATTGCCTGTTATATGCTGATGATATTGTAATATTCTCAGAAAGCAAAAGCGGTTTACAAACCAGTCTTGATATTCTCAGTAACTATTGCTCAAACTGGAAACTTCAAGTTAATGTAGATGAAACTAAAGTTATGATATTTAACTCAAATGGCAAGCCTCAAGGAAATGAATTTAGTTTTAATGGTAATGCAATACAAATTGTACCAAGATACTATTATTTAGGTATTATGATGAAATGTAATAGGAAGTTTAATTTAGCAACAGCTGTGCTTATTGAAAAGGCTAGAAAAGCATGTTTTAAAATGAAAAGAATTATTTGATTTGATAACCCATGTAAACTTTTAGAAAAACTCTTTGATGCTATTGTATTTCCAGTTCTTCTCTATTGTAGTGAAATATGGGGAGTGGATCTCTCATCCAAAGATATTTCAAATATTGAAAATTTTCACTTAAAATTTATTAAAGACATCCTTGGAGTGCACTGCAAAACATCCAATGCTGGTTGTTTAGCAGAACTTAAAAGACTACCACTTTGGTCCAAAATTTCCCTCTCTAGTATCAAATATTGGAATCACCTGAAAACTTCTGATTCTTTGGCCTTTAAACTTTACCAATCCACAAGTAACTGTAATTCTTGGACTAAGAAATTATTTTCTATTCTAGATAATCTTGGATTCTCAAACATTACAAAATATACAGGTTCCATCCAACACCTTTTACCAAACATTAAACAAAGAATCATTGATCAGTGCACTCAGGAGCAAACGTCAAAAATCTTTGGTTCAGAAAAACTTGATTTCTTCAAGAAAGTATACTCAGGAAAAAGAAGTCCTTATGTTGATTTACTCAAAAAAAGATCTGAGAGATCCTCTCTTAGTAGAATTAGACTAAGCGCACATAAACTTGCAATAGAAAGTGGTAGATATATTTCCACATCAAGAAATGAAAGATATTGTAATGTGTGTAATACTGGTGTGATTGAGGATGAAATACATTTTCTTTTTCAATGTAATTCTTACTCTAAGCTAAGAAACACATTCTTTAGTAATATTTATAACATAACAAAGAAAAATAATAATTTTAGCAATGAGAAATATATGTTACAATTATATGTAAACAGTAACATACAAAAAGTCTTGAAAGTTACTGTTAAATTTATCAGAGACTGTTTTGAACTTAGAAGTCAATTACTTGACAATTTTTGAAAAATACGTAAACATTTAATGATGTTCAGTGGGCCTTTGCCAATTATTGTAATTGTGTTTGTGCCAATAAAGTATTTGTATTTGTATTTACTCATTACTTACAAAACTCGAAACATTAGTTGTATGATTTCATGTTTAATGGATAACCGGAAGTAGCACATGTTTACCCGTTTGTAAACAAATCTATCGTAAAGTTATGAAAAATGCTGTCGATTTTAGTCCATGCACAGTCTTTACGTTGGGTATTTCCTGCAACTGCCTTGCTGAGCGCTGCCCCTATACACATTACAGTATGGACAGCTGCTCGATTACTTACTCTTCCCCTGCCCAGGTGCGTGTACAGAGCCCTAGATGACCTTCTCTATGCGACCTACCAAAGATATGTTCTGTTTTTCATGCACTGTTACACTGGCGCAGAGGTAATATTTATATAGACTGCAAATTTTGTATGACATTTTTTTTCTTTATTTAATTAAAAGTAAGTACAGCGAGCTTGATATTGATATAATTTAAATATATTGAAGATCTACTTAATCTTGCACAAATGCATTCCAAAGACTCTGACCCAGGGTTCTAGATTTTGTGTTTATTTTTGTTGATTGTTGAATACCGTATTAAATAAACATTCCGAATAACATTCTATCTATATAAATTATGTCTTTCCAGGACAATTTTTTTCAATTTAATTTTATCATTATCAGATTATGTGTGATATGCTCTTCAGATCAAGTTACCATTATAATGTATTTAAAATCCTAATTTCCATCATTTTAATTTTGTTTTACTTTTTACCAACAGATATACACATATGGTGATACAGAAACTATTGCTGATCAAAAAGAAAATGCAATCTTTATCTGCAATCACCAGTCAACAAGTAAGTTGCATATCTATTGAAGAATTTTATAATTATAAGAGATCTAAATTAATTAAAGTTTGCATTTTGAGTCATTTGATAATACTTTTGGTTTTTTGTATTTCCCACAGTGGATTGGATAGTTGCCAATATAGTTGCATTACAACATGGGTCACTGGGACATGTTAGATATGTTATAAAAGATGGGTTAAAATATTTCCCACTCTATGGTTTTTACTTCAAACAGGTAAGTTTTCCAATGTATCGATTGTTGATATTCATGTATTCTTTAATTATGAGAAGGTTTTTCCTTCTTGTCAGTTATTCTCTAGATTTAATTCAGGTACTTATGCCCCCACCTCCTTACAAACAAATTTTGGGTTTGCAAGAATCATTCTGTCTGTCTAACCAAGGTCATTGACCGAAAGATGTAACATTGTGACCTGTCCATTACTTTTCTAATGGAAATGCAGTGGAAAATTCATGTTTCACACAAAGATTATTTATTAGCTAAGTGTATGCACTGACCTTCACTGAAAGGTCACTCTCAGAAAAATGCATCATTCATATCCAGACCACTCTTTTAACATACGTGTAAAAACTTTAGGAGCTCATATTTAAACATTGATTATGACCTGAAAATGTCCCATTACTAGGCAAAATCAAGGACACTGGAAGAAAAAGAGTTTTTTTTCTGGGATTATATTTCATTTTACGAGAAGTATTGTAAGTTGATACTTTACACAAAGATTTCTTGTGAACAGACTGTATTTCTTGATCATGTTCAATGAAACAGGCAAAATTCATTTTGGGTCTTTAACTTTCCTGTGGAGAAAACTTGAAATATAAATTTCACACAAAAAAATTACTAATGACCCAGCTTTGTTATGATATTAGATGATAGTCATTTAGGAAAGTCAAGGTCACTTGAAGAAAGGTGTAGAATCCCTGTCCTGGTCTTTCTTTTATGAGAGAAATGTTTAAATTCATATCTTATTTGGTATACAGATTGCTTATGAGCTTAGGTGGTATTAAGACCTTGACATAAGGTCCTTTAAGTTCAAGGTCAATAATATAAAAGTGTTAAGTTCATGTTTGTTAAATGATCATTATCTTGGAGAAACATCGGAAGCCTTTGCCTCACAAAAAAGATTACCAGGTACTTTTGACCTGAAAGTTGCATGATCTAGGAGCAAGATCAGTATAGTAAGTTCAAGGTCAGTTTCAGAAAAATGTGTAACCCTCTGCTGCTTATATCTTACAGTAGAGAAACACTGGGAGTTATTTGTTACAGTCATGTATATTGATGCAGTACATGTATTTTGTTTTGTCCATTTGAAAAAAAAAATACCTTTCTGTTTTCTTTCAGCATGATTGCATATATGTTAGAAGGGGAAATTTTAGTAAAGAATGTATGGAAAAACAAGTGAGGAGACTTGCAAAAAGAAATGAACCAGTAAGTTTACTATATACCAGTTAGATGCTCTAATATCTTATCTGTTTGTTGAATCAGTTAGATTCACCAAAGATAATTTGAAAGCTTTGTACGTTTTTCTGGATGCATATTCATTCCTGCTAATTCAGCTATGTCATTTTGTTGAATACCAATATTTCTGCACTAAGGTTCAAAGCATTTCCTTAAGAATATGACAATTTAAACACTTTCAATTTTTCTCATTACTCATGCATGTATGTGCATCCATGTACCATGTTCCATATATCTACACACTTAATTTGATTTACTTGACTCATTTCTCTTTTCTGAATGAAAAATGGAAAATACATGTACTTTTTAGCTCTTCTGAGCCAAAGGCTCAAAGAGCTAATGGCTAATGCTATGGCCATTTGTGCGGTGTGCGTAAACTTTTTAGAATATGGGCCATAACTCAAGAACCCCTTGGCCAATCAGTACCAAATTTGTCACAGGGTATCCTTGGCCCAAGGGCTATTATTTATACTAAAATAAGGGCTGGGACCCTTAAACAAGGGGAGATAATCAGGAAAACAAAACCAAAAGTACTGGTTGCTAAAAAATCTTCTTCTCCATAACCACAAGGCAGATTTTCACCAAACTTACATACAAGGATCAGGATATGTCGAAGATTAAAATTTGCACGGGGAATTACCCTGGGTCAAAGGGCGTGGTCTCAAGGTCACTTCAAAGTTGACTTAAATTTACAATTAATAAAAACGTGTATATTTTGCTTACTATAAGGACTAGGATCATCAATTCTTGTAAGTTGATGCATCTTACGACTTCACATCATGTTAACTCAAAAGTAGGTCACGGTGACCTACTTTTTAAATTTTGCGGGGATTTGTTTTCATATTGATTTGAAGGCATATTTTGGACACTTCAAGGCCTATGATCATCAAACTTTTTCAGTTGATGCATCTTGGGTCCTCAAACAATGTCAACTTAAAAGTAGGTCACCGTGACCTACTTTTTGAACTTTATGACTTATCCTTTTAAAAACATTAAATCCCATTATTTCAGACACTGGGAGGTTTAGAATCATCAAATCTTGTACTTTGATGCATCTTGGGACCTTAAAACATATTTATGAAAAAGTAGATCACTGTGACCTACTTTTTGAATTTTGCCGACATTTGTTTTCAAATTGTTTAAAACGCATATTTTGATTACCTTCAGACCTACGATCATCAAACTTGGTCAGTAGATGCATCTTGGGTCTTTGAAAAATGTCGACCAAAATGTAGGTCATGATGACCTACTTTCGACATTTTATGACTATATTTAAGTATCTTAGGTATTTATTGGCTTAGAATCATCAAATTTTGTGAGTCCATGCATATTTGGTTTTCGGAGAGTGACGACCTAAAAGTAGGTCAGGGCGACCTACTTTTGACATTTTATGGCTTTATTTAAGTATCTCCTGTACTTATTGGCTTAGAATCATCAAACTTTGTGAGTTGATGCATCTTGGGTTTTCGGAGAGTGACTAGGGGTGGGACGATATACCGATACACCGATACATATCGATATTTTTCTCTAAGATACGGTTTAAGATACAAGCATTCAAATATCGGTACGAAACGATACACGAACGACCTATCCAAAAATTGAAAATGAAAGTACATGTCCTTGGAAAATGGCGGCTTGTACGAAGCGAAGAGATGATTTTGATTATTGAAAACACACTTTAGAACTAATAAGTCGTTGTTTATGGGTAAAATGTTTTCACTTTGAAACAGCCTCGGAAGATTGGACAAGAAAAGTTCCGTATGTAATGCGTGCTTTACACAGAAAGCATCGTTTCCAGAGCATTTGACATTATTATTTGTTAGTCCATCTCGTATTTTTTTTGTAATCTCAGCTTTGCTACAGACTTTCAGCAATTAATAAAAATGTAAATGTGATGTTTTTAAATAAATTTTAGTCAGTGTTCTCTGCTGAACTACACAACTATTTGTAAACAACTTCTTAAAAGTAATTTGGTAATAATAATATGTACATGTATGTTTCTTTTTGTAAAATTTTAGTGAATGACATTGATGAACTTCAAGTATTAATTTCAAAGCACACATGATTTGATATAGAATAATTTGTAGATTTAAATGTCAAGGCAAAAAATGAAATAAAGTACTAATTCTTTTGAATAGTTTTATAATTTATCATGTTGATTTAATGACAAGACAAGAAATGAAAAAAAAAATACTAATTTTTTAAAATAGTTTATAATATATCAAAATATCGAGATACGTATCGTATCATGCCAATATATCGAGATACGTATCGTATCGCAAGATCTGTGTATCGTCCCACCCCTAAGAGTAACGACCAAAAAGTAGGTCATGGTGACCTACTTTTGACATTTTGTGACTATAATTAAGTATCTCTAAAATCTAAAAATATTGATGACCTAAAATCATCAAACTTTGTCGGTTCACACATCTTGGGTAAAACACACCCAAGTTCACACAGCATGGGTTATATAAAGGTCACAGTGACCTAGCATTTAAAGTATCTCAGGTACGTATAAGCTTAGACACACATCAAACTTTGTCAGTTTAGGCACCTTGGGTTTTCGAGTATACGTTGATAAAAAGTAGGTCACTGTGACCTACTTCAGTGACATTTTATGGCTATATTTAATCAAACTCTTAATGCCAAAATAAAGAAACTTTACCAAATTGTACAATAAGGTAATATTAAACATTGACACAATGTCACTTGTGAGGTCACGGTGACCTAATTTTGAATATCTCAGGTACTTATTGGCTTAGAATCATCAAACTTTGTCAGTTGATGCATCTTGGGTTTTTGAATAATGTCAACCAAAAAGTAGGTCACAGTGACCTACTTTTGACATTTGATGACTATATTTAATTATCTCTGGTACTAATTGGCTTAGAATCATCAAACTTTGTCAGATGATGCATCTTGGGTTTTCAGAGAATGCTGACCAAAAAGTAGGTCATGGCGACCTACTTTTCAATATCTCAGATACTTATTTACTGTAAATCACTTTTTATTCGCAAGAACTTTATTTTCACATAATTACGCGAAACAGTGTGCTCGCGAAAATTATATTCTTGCGTATAATAGCATTTCTTTAGATTATATAGAGCAATAACTACATTCGTGAAAATTTTGTCTTGCTGATCAAGAGTCAATGACTATCTCGCGAAAATAAGGTGTCGCGAAAATTTAGTGATCTACGGTAATTAGAATCATCAGTCTTTGTCAATTAATGTATCTTGAGTCCTCAGAAAATTTCAATCAAAAGGTAGGTCACTGTGACCTACTTATGGTATTTTATAATTATATTATAATACATTGTATCTTCAGTCTTAACTGGCTAAATATTATCAAACTTTGTAAGTTGATGCATTTTGGGTCTTATGATTCTAATAGAGTTGGAGGCTTCTAATAGAAGTGATAGATTGTACAATTTATCAGAAGAGCGATTCAAGGCCCTTGGGCCTCTTGTTATTTAATTGATTTCATAATGTATATTTTTATTGCTATGTAGGTTTGGATGGTGATATTCCCAGAAGGAACAAGATTCAATCCCACTAATAAGGATCTTTTACAGAAAGCAAGAACATTAACAGAAAAGAAAGGTTCGTTTTAATATTCACCAATGCTAATGGTGAGAAAAGAGCTTTCAAACAGTTTTCAAAATTAGTTTTTTTATTGACATGTTAAAGAGATATCGTATTTGACAGTGCAGAAAAACTGCTGGTAAATATTATTGATTTTGAAATTTTGATAATATCGAAAGGTCCATTGGCTTCAAATTTAAACTATTGTTTCTGGTTTTTAGTTACCAACTTTGAATTGAGTTGATGGCTCAAAAGTTAGTGTGCTGTGGAAGTTGAACTTTAAACTCATTTGAACAAAGTTATTAATTGCAATTAGAAGTCAAGTTTCCTTTTGCAGGCATCACCCCAATGGATCATGTACTACCTCCCAAATTAGGAGCTTTGCAAGTATGTCTGGAAAACATGAGAGAACATGTTACATGTATTTATGATGTAACTATTGCCTTCGGTAAAACAGTGAACAGTTCTGGGCAAAGAGTTGAAGCTCCTGGAATGCCAGGTATGTATAGATTGACTTTAGTTTACTTTAAGTTATATTTCATATTTCAAATATTTCATTGATTTTATCATAAGAATTAATTAATTCATGAGAAATACATGTAATATTTTTTCAAAAGAGTAATAAAAAAAAATGGTATAGTAAAAAAAAATTACTATTGAGCCTAATCATTTTATACAATTTTATAAAATGATACAAAGGGCATTAACTCTTACTTATGTTTCTTCATGGGTTTTCTATGTTTAAAATAAATAAATGCATTGTAAAATGGTTACCCTTAGGCCATAATAAATAATTTGCTAGATTCTCATCCGAATTTTTTTTAAAATCGAGGCGGGCGGGCGGCTTTTATTTTATATTTTTTATTTTTTCAATTTTGCAGATTTTTTATTGACCTGGTCAATCTTAATTTTATACAATAAATCAAAAATAGTAAAGGTTCAATTATCTGTTACTTCACATCATCACCAATCTTTTTCAACCAATGATCCTTGTTTATAATATATACGCAATTATTACAGCAATTACCATCTTTTCAGCTATCAAAATCATGTCGACTTTCGCGGGATTTAAAACGAAAGTAGAATGGTAGATGAATACCGATACTGATCAGAATTAAGACGACGAAAAACAGAAATAAAAAAAATCGAGGCGGGAGTATTTATAAATGGCCTTATATCCATATTCTTAATCAAAATTCTATCAAAAATGGCTTATGATTTCTTTGATTTCATGAAATCCATGGGACTTCTTTATAAATGGTTGTTTATATATTAGATACAATGTCATATATATGTATTGAGCTCATATTTTTACTTTTTAAGAGGTTATATGACAATAAGTTTCATGAATAGAAAATGAAGTATACCGCTAAAATATGTAATGTAGTAACCATTTACCTGCAGCTGGTTACTTTCAGAATTCCTAATGCAAACCTCACCTGAGATTCACCTGAACGTAGAGAAAATTAAGGTGTCAGACGTCCCGAGTGATACAGAGAAACTACAGACCTGGTTAGATAATCAGTACCAGAAGAAAGACAGGTGATTGTAATTTGCTGAATCATCTTATCACTTTATAGCAGGATCACAGTAATTTTTAACTCAGCTTGTCTGTTACAGTCAAATTTTGTAATCTTGAATGTGATTAGACCAAAAAAAATCAGAATGTCCAATGATTTGAGATATTGAGGTTAAAATAAATTTAAAAAAAATTATATGAGACTTCCAAGTCATTAACTAAAATTACACATGTAATTTGATACGTAGCCAAAGCATATCTTACGTACTCTATAAAAGGAATTCTGTAATGGTTGCATATGTGTACTGAATTGTTATGGAAATATTTGATAATGCAAATATATGCAATGAGAAATGCTTTTTTTTTATCAGATTGCTTTCCCATTTTTATTCTGTGGACAAAGACAAAGCTGGCAGATTTCCAGGACAGGCTAATCGTCTACAGATCACTCTTGCCCAGACTTTGCCGGTAGCCATCTTTTATAATGGTTGCCTATGCCTGATGTTTTCACATTCTGTCACACGATCCATGTATTGGAAAGTTTCACTGTTTGGAACACTACTGGGTTGTATATGGATGTCAGTCAGGTCCCAGGCATAGGTCCTTATGTTGCCATATCAAATATTAAATTTGTAAAGCTACATAAGATTTTTTTTTAATTCATAACAAAACTTTACATTTTGAGTATACTTGTACATGTATTGCATTATACTTTTTTAACATTGTGTGATGTGTTTTTAGGCATTGCATACATTAAACCCAAGTGCTTTCTTGCATTTTTTTGGTCTACACAGTTTTACTTTTTTTGTTGTTTTTTGAACTCTTGAAGAGTAAATTTTTTTCTGGTGATGTACCGGTACATGTTCATCATATTAACTGATGGTATCAATTGGTTAATAAATGAAGGTGAATAAATTGTATGGTATTTTGACGTTTGATCACACTAGTACAGGTAGGGAATGATATTAATGTGCTTCCACTGCTGGTTCATATCATTAACCTTTACAATTTTACCATAATTGTTATCACTATTCATTTTGAGGTCAAAATTTCAAAAGTCAGAACTTCATACATTGCAAAAACGTTTTTCAGATGATAAATTTAATTTCCTTTGACCCTTTCTGAATGAAAATTATCAACTCTAGAACCCCTATTGATTTTAAAAAAAATCAATTACAGAAATTGAAACATTCTGAGTGTACACTTTCAAAATCAGAAATCACACTAAAGTCTTTTACAATTAAATTTTATATCAGCTCCTTACTTTTTGACTCTAGAGCAGACGCTTTAACCACTTTGTAATGCGGGCAACCATTAATTTGAGGTCAAAGGTCAGAGATCAAAGTCAAATATTTATGCATGGCAAAAAATGGTTTCCAGATACAGTAAAACTCGTTTAGTACGAACACGGATATTGCGAATTCACGGATAGAGTGAAGTTATCTTTGATCCACAGCTATATAAAATTAATGCATTTCTTGTACGGATATAACGGATATAGCGAAGTAATTTCATAGGTCCCAGCAACTTCGTTATAACCGAGTTTTACTGTACCGGTAAATAGTTTTGAGCTTGAATTTGCATTGAAATTTTATATCATAACTCCCAGTGATACTTCACAAATGATACATTTGCTTTGAAATAAAATTAAACTTTTAATTCTTATTAAATAAACTATTTTCCCAATAAATATGAATTGAAATGTAATTAATATAAGCCCATTTTGTTTTGTTATTGAATCAACATTTTATATTTCACTTGAAAAAAATGCTTCAAGACATGAAGGTCTTCTTTTGTAACACATATGGAAAGTTGTTATTTTCAAAATTGTGTGTGTGTTTGAATGTTGTTTTGTACATGAATACTTCAAATAATATAAGATTATAGCATATTGTAGATTATACATGTACTGCAAATATTTATACTATTGAATAAATGTATTATGTTTGAATCTTATTAATGTTTTATTTTCCTTAGGCATTTTTTGAGGGTGGGTCCACAAAAGAGGATCAAAACTTTACAATGGCAAAGGCAATAAAAAATTAATATTGCAGAACAGAAGGTCAAAGTAGTCATACTGCTCATCCAGATGTATGTCCTTGTTGAGTGGATTTATATTTAATATTACTTCTCTTTGGGGCTGGAGCGATGCCACAGTATGGGTTAAAAGTTTTTCATATGAGTGACAAAAAACTTGGAAATCCTTTTCTGACAAACAGTGGGGTCAGTGTGACTCTTGTGAGCCAACAGGCCTTATAATCACTTCAATCCAACTTGCTAATTTTTTTAGTAAGATATAAGCAATCTAAAGGGCTGCATGTGTTTCGCTCTAGAGCCTATGGTAATTTTTATAATGATTTTTTTAAATTACTTCTAATGCATGTAGAAGTAAGCTGCTCATAAAGTATGGACATCTTTTAAAAACTTTTAGGTCACCTAAATTTACTCGGTTTAAAACATGAACCCAACTTACATTATGGGAAAGTTGTTACATGATACTCAGGAGATGTGCAAGTCCCATGGGCCTCTTGTTTTAAATGTGAAACTGCATGGTTATCACAAAACCTTTCACCAATTTTATAGTGAAAACTAAGTAAATGGGACAATAAGAAGTGTCCTTTGTATCATTTGTCTAAATTTTAAACAGGACTAAATTTTACATAACTAAGTACAGTTTAACTTCGGTATCTCAAACACCAATATGTCTAATACAGTGGATATGTTGAACAGGTCGAGATCACTACCTTATATGGAAGGCAATTTTCAACATGTGATGATGTCTTCGTCACATCCATTCTCCAATCAAGTGAATGAGTCCCAAAGAATGACACTCTACTACGTGTTTACGATTCAATGGCGACACATGGTTTTCGTCGGTTTACTGCACCTGCATATTATTTAACTCGTCACTGGAAAAACTGTAAAGCTTCTTTATCACTTTATAAGACTGAAATTGAAGATTATATTCCAGAGACATTGCTCCATGCTCACATTTAATATTGGAGTTGTTTTAGATGATTAATAGTTGCTTCGAATACCGTACAAACGCTTTGACGTTTGCTGTACATAAAACATTTCCTGATAATATTGAGGGGTTAAATAATAATTGCACACCTTCTCCTGCTGTCTAAAACCAGGGACCTATATACTACCTGCTAAAACTATGTACACGTATATCACATGAAAAAAACTCAATGTTTTATCGACACGACAGCACAGGTCTAAGTCTCTTTGAACAATGGTTTAGGCCGATGTGTTATAAGTTGATATAAGGCTTCATAAAGCAAATTTTGTAAATGTGAGCACAGAGATGAAAGATTATACATTGTTTTAAATATTTATTTCACAAATCTCAAAAAAAAATTGAAAATAAGTTCCAAGAGATAATTCAAGTTGCCCTTTATACACAGCTGGGTATTTGTAGAAGCTCACAATGCATTGCGGCTCATTCAGCAGTAGATAAAGTAAACAGATAGCTAATTTACATGCAAATTAATGCTGACGTCAGAAAATCTAGTGGTCTCGACCTCTTGAAGTGATTTTGAAGTCCCAAACACTTAATTATTCTTAAAGTATTTTACACTTAATATCTTGAATCCTCTGATATCTCGAAGTTTTTTCTCGGTCCCATCGAGTTCAAGATAACAAAGTTTGACTGTATATGAATATGATAATTATTTAGTGGTCTGTATTACCAAAACAGAATCTGATTAAGTTTGGGACACTGAAACAGAACATGATCGGAAAGACAAGAGGAAACAACCTGGAGTCAAAACAGCACTTTTTTTAATCACATAAACTTGTATCACACACAGTGAATAAGTACTTGTAAACATATCCTCTACATAAATAATGCATTAAATGCAATTATCCCCATCTACATAGTTCTCTTATAAATAAAATATTCTACAGGAAAATAAACTTTTAAATATATAAACACAAATAATAAAATGTGTACTACATAAACATAAGACAACAATCTACATGCATTTCTAACAGCAGTATAATTCAAGCTTTTAAAGAAGAGTTAATTTTATATACAAAGTACATGGTCAGTACATTAAGAGGGTGTATACATGTATATGTGTTGTTGAAATTTTTTTTTACTCTAGCACTTGAATTTCTATATTCAAATGAGGAGGATATAATTTTGATATCATGGAATCGATAATGTACCAATTAGATAAGACAGTAAAAACTTTAATTGCAGTAACTGGCTTAATCAACTGAAATATTTGTCATACAGAAGGTAAAATAATACAAAATTGGGAATAGGTTAGTAAAAATTACCTAACTATAATGTTTCAACATATACCGTCAGTTTTAAAATCTACACTCAACAGACACAATAAACATACAAAGATATAGGCAAGACCAATAAGGCATGCCCTGCCCATGTATTTGTCACAACATATGAAATGGAACAAGATTTTATAATGAAAATCAATACTGCTTTATGCCCAAAGCTCCAAATTTTAATTTTTATTTACCTGGTAGAAAATCAAACTATTTTCCCAATAAAGTTGAATTGAAATGTTTACACAACATCATTATCACTGGAATCAGAATCCACATACTGTATGGTTTGTCTTGTCCTATTATGACTACTACTAGCTGGGTTTGCTGGACGGACTATTTCGTTAACAGAACTACGAGTCCGGGAAGACACCGGACTGTTGTCGTTACTTCCACTAGGGACTTGTCTTGTTATCGGGGCTTCGTTTGTATCCGAGTCATCACTGGGTAGGTCGAGACTTTGTAGCTGGTTGATGAGATCTTGTTGGGAGGACTGAACACTACTGGGTGGACTGTCTACAGGAGTATTGGGATTCTGGGGGGTGTTACTGGGGGTGTGGGGCACTGAAGGCTGGCCATGGGAGGCTACCGGTTGGCGAACTTGTCTGTTTGTGTTAGCAGTTCTTGATGCTGGATTACTGGTTTGACTAGACTGTTCGTTCCCATCTCCCACTGGCCTTCCGTTTGACGGTGAGGCAGACTTTGGATACTTTAATCCTGCAACTCCCTTAACACCTGGGATGGAAACAAGATCCCGGCGAATCTTCCTCTTCCTTGATCTATCATTGCGTCTCACCTGCACCATGCTGTCAAAATCAATTATGTACAGAAATCCCGCAATCAGAATTTCAAAAACTTTTTCTCCATTTTTATGTTTAGACTCCAACTCCTGACTGGTTCTGTCGTCATACTGCCACCATCCATTCCCACCCTGATAAAACCACTGGTACTGGTTATCAAACTTAGTTGTCTTTTCTAGATCTTCATACCGTAACAGTTTAGGGTTATTAAAGAATTCTGCTTCAATTTCCTGGCGACAGAGGGCACATTTCTTGCTCCGATGAGCAGCACCCTTGACACACAGAAAGCAGAATATATGTCTACAGGGTAGCTGGACAGGATGAATACATGGTTGAAGACAGACAGCACACTCTACTGGACACACTGGTTCTACAATATCAAAAAAAAAAAAAAAAATAAAAAAAAGAAAGCTTGAAATTAAACAGATACACACATAATCATAAAGTGAATTTCTCCTATGCTATACATGCCAGGTATGATATGCTAAAAATAGTGTCTAAAATGAAGATGACATTAGATTAAGTTAAAATTGAACTTTTATAAAAATATTGAAATAAAAATCTACTCATGACTGGATGCATACTGTGGTCCAACAAAGGCTCTCGATACAAACCTGAGTCTACATTATGTCCCAAGTTTTGATTCTAACAATGTCCAGTGAAGTCATTGTATACCAACTTTTTGACAAGAAGTCACAAACCCCAAAAGTCAACTTGCATTAAATTACTAAATAAGGATGTCCCTCCTGTTTTTTTTTGAGAAAAAGACTGGCTTTTGCCACCTTGTCAATAATTATTTGTAAATCTTATCGAAGAGGGTGTTCAACAGTCAGTTCAGAATTTTTTTTCTGTTTGAGTTTTCTTTCCTTTTATGTCTGGGTGAATTTTATAAAATTTTTATGTGCAAAGAGAGAGATTGTGTACAAGATTGCTTTACTTTTGTATTTGATTTTATGCTCCCATAAATGAAGTTTTGGGGGTAATCGTATATAGTTTTTGCCTTGTCTGTCTAGCTGTCTGTTTGTCTGCAAAAACTTTAACCTCGCCCATAACTTTAGAATGGGCAGGGCTATGGCTTTCATATTTCACAGGTGTATTCCTTGTAACAAGACCTTTCTTTAAGTACCACCAAATTTGACCTCTTGACATTGGAGTTTGCCAAACTTTTACAAAAAAAAAACACACTTTTACTTTGGCCTTAACTTTTAAACAGTTGGTGCTAGGACTTTCATACTTGTCATATATATTCTGTGTGACAAGACCTTTCATTGGACTTCAACAACTTTGACCTTGTGACCTTGACCTTGGTTGACTGAAATTTAAAAAAACCCTTAATCTTGGCCATAACTTTGTATCGGTAAGGGTTAGGGTTTTCACACATTACATACATAATCCTTGTAACATGACCTTTCCTAGGATACCAACAACTTTGACCCTTTGACCTTGACCTTCTTTTTAAAAAACTTTAACTTTGGTCATAACTTTTGAACAGTTGTTGCTAAGGCTTTCACGTTTCACAATTGTATTTCTTGTTAGAAGGCCTTACTTTGGGTATGAACACATTTGATTTGCATTTGAAAAAGTTTAACCTTTGTTATGTTGCCATATGGTGGCATCAGTATTTCACAAACACATCTTGTATGTACAGAAATGGGGGGAAAAACACAAAACTTGTGTACCTTAGTATTGACTTTTGAGTTTTTGTATTCAACTTGACTTCTTGTGCATGAGTTGGTCTGTCTGTTTGTGTAAACTAAGTGACTGTAAATAGGATCAAATAGATGAATATCTGTCATCCATAATGATACCCAGTTGTATTAATCCTATTTTCTTTACAGAAGTTTGCATATATAACAACTTATGAAGGAGAACAGTGCAACTTGTCAAATGGATTTCATCTGAAGAAGATATTCTTTTAAATAAACATCCAAGATAATTCTGACATTTAAAAAATGTTTATAATTAAATATACAAGTTTACAAATGAATTATGCCTAACCTTATTTAATGGTTTGGGGCCTAATCGTCAAATATGATGTTTCTGCAACAAATGTATCGAACATAGAATCTTCATTCTTGCTGTATAATTTACCTTCTTTTGGAACGTATGACTTTGTGTTATCTTCGACTTCAAACTTTGAATCATCCATTGTCCCCAAAACTGTATAAAGGTGTCAAATACCCGCCATTCTTTTGATTAACTTCTCATATCCCAAGAAGAAAAAGGAATACAGGTATGTTGTGACCATGACCTTGTGAGAATGCAGTGAAAATTTTAGATAGATCGTGCATAAAAGAGTTTAATTTTTTTTCTTATTTAATTTTTTATAAAGTTAATTTGAAAAGCAAAGCCCATAAAATTAATTGCCTTATTTAAGGTAACAGATGCAAAGAAATTGCAATTACATATAGTTTATTTAATGAAACGAGATAAAAGTTTTTTCCGGAAATATTCCATCTAAATTTGGTTTCACATTTTATAGTTCTTTCAGGCAAGATGGCGGAGTTCGACTTGACCACGCGTATGGGCCAATACTTGGACCGGCATTTAGTGTTTCCTTTATTAGAATTTTTATCTGTGAAAGAGGCAAGTGAACTTATATCTGACCATTCCAACAATTTTTTTATGAACAAGTCAAGTAATATACCTTTGAAAGTGCGTATGGGCCACCATAAGGCATGGGCACTGGAAGTTAGTGTAAATATTGAGCATGTTGTGCTCGTATAGAAGAGGGAGTGTAGTGCACTAACTTCAAGTGCATATTTCAAAAAAAGTTTTGATAAAATGTATTAAGTGTGTGCCATAAGGCACACTTCTGCTTCAAATGTAAACAACAGGAACTATATTCATACTGAGAACATGAATTTGATTGTTTGCTAAAAATAGATCCCTTTATCACAGGATTTTATATTATAACTTTGTTTTTTTACATTTAACTACAATAGTTTTTACTGTGGTTTTATGTAATTTAACAACAACTTGGTAAGTTTTCCTGACACCCATGTTTATTGTTTATATACACCCCCCCCTGTACACAACGATGATATTTAACCCTGTTGTTGGCTTATTGAGCATTTTTTTCACAAATTATATGTATTACACTTATTCATCATGTGTACAATATGAAAAAAATCGTCAAAATCCCAAGATAATTGCTCCACAAAAAAAAATACCCCACCATACATTATAAGAGAGAAAGGTATGCCTCTCCAGTTTGTTTATGTTGTACCCCCACTGGTCTTTCTGGATTTAAAAACACATTTTATTTCAACCTAATTGAATTTCCCAAGTTTTGATGTTGTAAAATTGTTAAATTTATATAAAAATTGATTGAAAATGTCTGTTTTTGGTAGTAGTTTTTTTTTAGTCGTTAGAACTGCTACACAAGGCGTTTATTGTGAAAAACACAGATGTAAGAGTTACTGCTCTTTGTTTATACATGATCTTTAGAAAACATCTTAAAACTTCTTGCATTTTTATAATATAATTAATTTAATAACAAAATTATAATATCTTTTAATATTTGTTTTCAAAACTACGTAAATGTTATAATTATTGTTGGGATTAGGAAACACTATAATAGAGTTATATGAGGATATAGGAGTTATCGTTCTTTGTTTTTTTAACTAATTATTGTAACCGGCTTCTAAAACATTTCTATAAAGATATGTTGTTAAATGTTAATAAAATATCATATATACTGGTGGGACTCATTATTTTTCTGTGGGACCTAATGTCCCTGTTGTGCTCGTATAGAATGTCGATTCACACTGTCTCTACATATATTTCTGTCGTAGTCTATGCTATTTGATTGACTTTGCATCTCATAAGAATCCCACAATATCTCCTTAAAGAGCATTCCTGTCAGAAGGTTGAAATTTCCCTAAGTAAAAGCAACGGAAGTGCATAGAGAATGTATGATAACACCCGAGGTAGATTATTACGTCAGGCCAAAACTCTCTCAGACATTATCCTAATAAGTGAAACATTCCCTATGCACTACCATTGCGATTACCTAGGGAAATTTCAACGATCTGACGGGAATACTGTTAAATAAATTTGTATTCTTTATTGTTTTCTAGCTTTATGATGAAAAAGAAATGCTGAAAGGCAAGCTTGATTTGTTGAGCAATACCAACATGGTTGACTTTGCAATGGATGTTCACAAAAACCTTTATCCAGACCAGGATGTTCCTAACAGTAAGTGTCATTTCACAGTTTTCTATATTGCATCAGAACTAGACTTACTGGAAAATATCACAAGTTGTAAAATATCCATTGAATCTCTTTAATAATAAGTCGAATGTGCACAGCTTGCACTCTGAATAATTTCTTTTTACTGTATTATCAAACCTTAGGTCTAAAGGGCAAAAGACAGGATGTTGTTGCCCAATTGAAAAGTTTACAGGCAGAAACTGAACTGATTACGAAGATATTTGAAGACCCAGAAGTTGTGAGACAGATGCAAAGTTCAAGGTAGATATGGAGCCATTACGTAATAACATGGATTAGTTGCTTGATACCTTTTACTGCAAAATTAAAATGATGGTAACAATGTTTTGTTTATTTATTTATAGAGACGGTCGACAGCTGTTTGAATTCCTAAACAAAGAACATGGGGTAAATAATATATTCTTTAAAACAAAAAATCTTTTAATTTTAATCTGTGAATTACTAGTACAAGTCAAATTATGGCATTTTCAGATATTAAAATAATTCACAATTCTTTTGCTTTTTTCAGTTTGAAGCCAGTATGGTGGACACATTGTACACTTATGCTAAGTTTCAGTACGAATGTGGAAACTACTCAGGAGCAGCTGAATACCTCTATTTTGTCAGAGTTTTGGTAAATAAATTATACAAGTTGATTATTAATTAAAATTAAATAGAATTGTTTTAAAAAAGAAAGAATGTTCATTTATAAATTCTCCATATTAGTTCAATAAAACATCTTAGTATGGAAACCCCTGGTTCCATGGAAATATGCCTGGATAAGAAAATTTTCAATGCTAGACAACACTTTAAACAATTAGATTTTCTTATAAGTTTTCTTTGCAATAGACACGTTTTTAGAAAACCTAACTTTCAGAATAGATAAAGTACATGCAGCTGCGTTGCATTTTGGGCAGGCTGTATTTGAATATTAAGTAAGGAGTTTTCAGTGCAAATTTAAAATGTTATAGTATTGTTTTCCTGAAATGTTCTGTTTTTGTTCAGCTTCCATCAACAGACAGTCATTTCTTAGATGCCATGTGGGGTAAACTTGCTTCAGAAATCCTAATGCAGAATTGGGAGACAGCACTAGATGATCTACAGAAGCTGAAAGACATCATTGATAGCAATGTATGTACACTGATCCTCACTGTTCAAGTAATAAACAAGTTTTACAGTCATACTTACTCTGCTACCTTCCATTTGCTCTCTTTTTAGTAAATTTGCCTATTCCATTAAAGGCAGTACATAGAAAATATTTAATTTTTTAAATGTATTTAAGAACTGTTCAGTGATCCTGATAATTATGTGTATTGACATGTATCAGTGACTATTTCTTCCATATTGTAGCCATTTGGTTCAGCTCTTCAGAACCTTCAGCAGAGAACCTGGCTGATTCACTGGAGTTTGTTTGTCTTCTTCAATCATCCTAAAGGCAGAGATCTGATTATAGACATGTTTATATACCAGCCTCTGTAAGTAAAGACTGAGAGTAAACTTACTGTTAAGGTCAAGATCTAGTAAATGAAAGGTGCCTACAGATTTATCAAACATGAAAAATAAATTCCTTTATTGATGCTTTACAACTTTAGCTTGGTCAAATGAGGTGTTTCGGTGCATAATTTGTAGGTAAACAAGATGCAAAACTGTATTTTAAACTGTCATTATCAATAAAAAATTAAGAAAAACCAGTTATGAATATGGGAGTATTCTTAGGTCACCTGAGTAAACTCAGATGACCTATTGCTATCCGTTTTTGTCCGTCGTCGTTCGTCGTGCGACATGCGTCGTGCATCATTCGTCGTGCGTTAACATTTAAACATTTTCAGCTTCTTCTCTGAAACCACTGAACCAATTTCAACCAATTTTGGCATATAGCATCTGTGGGTGAAGGGGAACAAAAATTTTGAATTTCATTATCCCTGCCCCCCCAGGGGCCTAGGGGTGGGGCCAAAACCACTAAAATTAGTGCAATCTTTAAAAATCTTCTTCTTTACTCCTAGACATCAAGCAGTCAAACTGTTGGTATGATTGAAATCAGCATTGAGTCCTCTACCAAAATTGTGAAATTCATGGCCTCAGGGTTAGGGGTTCTGGTGTTAGGGCAGGGCTCTATTGATTATATAGTGAAAATGCATTACTTCTTTGAAAATCTTCTTCTCTGTTCCTGAGTATTGAATAAACTAATTAAGTACATAGTTATGATGAGCAAGAGTGCCTCTACCAAAATTGTGAAATTTATGGCCCCAGGGTCAGGGGTTCTGGTGTTAGGGCGGGGCTCCGTTGATTATATAGTGAAAAGTCATTATTTCTTTGAAAATCTTCTTCTCTGTTCCTGAGTATTAAATAAACTAATTAAGTACATAGTTATGATGAGCAAGAGTGCCTCTACCAAAATTGTGAAATTCATGGCCCCAGGGTCAGGGGTTCTGGTGTTAGGGCGGGGCTCCGTTGATTATATAGTGAAAAGTCATTATTTCTTTGAAAATCTTCTTCTCTGTTCCTGAGTATTAAATAAACTAATTAAGTACATAGTTATGATGAGCAAGAGTGCCTCTACCAAAATTTTGAAATTCATAGCCCCAGGATCAGAGGTTCTGGTGTTAGGGCGGGGCTCTATTGATTATATAGTGAAAATGCATTATTTCTTTGAAAATCTTCTTCTCTGTTCCTGAGTATTAAATAAACTAACTAAGTACAGAGTTATGATGAGCGAGAGTGCCTCTACCAAAATTGTGAAATTCATGGCCCCAGGGTCAGAGGTTCTGGTGTTAGGGCGGGGCTTTATTGATTATATTGTGAAAATGCATATATTCTTCGAAAATCTTCTTCTCTACTTCTTCTGTATTAAATAAACCAACTAAGTAAAAAGTTATCATGAGCAAGAGTGCCTCTTCCAAAATTTTGAATTTTATGGCCCCAGGGTCAGGGGTTAGGGTGGGGCTCTATTGATTATATAGTGAAAATACATTATTTCTTTGAAAATCTTCTTATCTTCTCCTAGGTATTAAATAAACTAACTAAGTAACATTACATAGTTATGATGAGCAAGAATGCTTCTACCAAAATTGTGAATTTTATGGCCCAGTGGTCAGGGGTTATGGTGTTACGGAGTGGCTCTATAATGATTATATAGTGAAAATACATTTCATCTATGAAAATCTTTTTCTCTACTCCTGGGTAATAAACAGATGTACTATGTATATAGTTATGATGTGCAAGGGCTCCTCTTCCAGAATTGTAAATTTCAAGGCCCCTGGGTGAGGGATACCGAAAGGGGGTGGGGGGGCTCTACTTATATACTGAAAATGAATTGTTTGAAATCTGCTCCTTATTATTAATCAAACATTATTGATAAGCAAGTGTGCCTTTTCAAAAAATTTGCGAAGTGTATACCTAGGGCCAGGAGTTCATGTGTGGTAGGGGCACTTATGATTATTGCTGAATATTACTGATTAGTTGAAATGCATATTTGTTCCCCTGCCCTGCTTATGGGTATTACCGGTAAGTAAACAAACTAAACAATTGCTAAGTGTATAGTTATGATAAGCAATGGTGCCTCTTTTAGAATTGTGAATGCCATAGCATCTAGCTTGAAACATGAACCAAATTCAATTATTTGAAAGTTTTGCATGATGCTCAGGTGACCTATAAGGCCCGTGGGCCTCTTGTTCGTATTCGGCAAAGGAAATGTATCCAGATTGCCTTCAGTCTCTCAGAAAAAGGGTAATTAGTATGTTCATTGCCTCTTCTTTAAATCAATATCAAATTTAATATAGGTATCAGGTTTACTTTTCATATGATTTCAAATTGAATGACATGAAAATACCCTATTTTCTACATAATTCTGCTAAAGCCGTAAAGTATGGGAAAAAGAAAGTTGAAATTGATTATGACGTCATAATGGATCTACATGTAGCACAAAAAATTAGTCTCAAGTTATTTACTAGATCTTGACCTTAATGTACATGAATTAGTGCACTGAAAATGAGCACAATCCCTGTCAACTGATTGGCATGTGTCATGAAAGTGAACTTACACCCCCATCTATTTAAATTTGTGTTCATTATATATTAGTATGTACATTAATTAGGGGACAGAAAGTCACACAAAAGGTGCTAATTTTTATTATACCCACGCAAACGAAGTTTAGGGGGGTATATTGGAATCACCATGTCCGTCTGTCCGTCTGTCTGTAGACAAGATTTTGTCCGGACCGTTTCTCAGAAACTATTGGATGGATTTGTCTGAAAATTTGTACACTTATTATTCACCATATGAAGTTGTGCACCTGGTATTTTCATCATGATTGGTTGATTTTTCTGCATTTTACAGGCATTTTTTCTTTTTTATTTTGTTGTTTTGTTTGGCTCTGACATAACTAGAAAACTATTAGACTTACAATCATCAAACTTGGTCAATTTATGCATCTTGGGTAGAAGGTGTGTCATGACCTATTTCAAGGTCACTGTGACCTTTAATTAAAGTAAAATTTAAAAAAAATAACTGTCTTTTACTATTGAAATAATCAATCCCAAAAAATGTAAGAATGTTGCAGTATCCCTATTTAAAACATGTTAAATTAAGAAATTTTTTTTTTCATTATATACTTTACAGCAATCCATAATAAATGTTATTTTATAAGAGAAAATCTACCTCTCCCAAGGGTATAATTATGAAGCACTGGTCAAGGAGAATTTTGATAACAGAAAATTGAATGTCAAATTAGAGAGAAATTAATTAGTTTAGTGTAAGGAGCTAACTTGTAGAACATTTCTTATCAAGAACTTGTTATCTGTCTTTTGGGAACTGGGCTAAGGAATCAGCCTTAAATAGTTTTAGTGACTAGCCTAACTTATTTAAGGATGTACAACACACCTACCCCAAAAAATTCCTGTCGTTTAATTTCCGTTATTTTTGTATAGTACATGACTATATCTACTGCATGTATGCATATTTTGGACAAAATCGTTCGAGTGGTTTTTGGACAGGAACTTCCGAAAGTTACCACCCTTTAGTTGCTTACAAGGAGAGAAAATTTTTAATCAATGAACTACTTAAACCTTGATTTTCAATAAAACCAAGTTAGATATAAATGTCAAATTTCATTGGCTTATTCTTTTAACCATTTAACACAAAAACATAATCATCTTTTTGATATACATATCATCAAAACAATTTTTAAAGACCTTAAACTGAAAAACTATGAATTTTCTAAGCCTTGAAAATTGCGTATTTTTCAAATTCAAAATTTTTTGTGAAAAAACCTGTCGTTTAATTTTGATAAAAAACTTTCTTTAGGTAGCTGGTAGTAAAAATAATCTTCATAATTTTTTGTATAATTTTTGTACGACCAGTTTTGATTTAATAGCGGAAAATTACCCCCTCCCCCTTTCTCAATAAATCACGTTCCCGCGCGTCTTTCAGACGGGGGTCGATCACTTTGTTATATGAATCTACAAATACACATTAAAAAATTAAATTGGAATATTGATTTTGCTTCAAAAATATATTAACTTACAAATTTAAAAGTTCTCATATGTAAAGCGTATTTAAATGTAGATTTTTAGGCAATTTTTGAATACCCCTATTACCCCCACCCCTTCCTTTTTTGCGTCGCAGACCATTAGCGTTTGACGAAACGTCGTTTACAGTGCAAATATACTGGTATTTCATCAAGAATCCTGGAGGTATGCATTAGTTTTTAAATTCATGAATGCAGAATAAATATTGACTACTCTTTTTATATGTATCAGGAAAAAATTACTGAAAGATTTTAGTGTTTAGTCCATATACTGTACGTATGCGTTATGCATTCCATATCACATGAAACCTGGATACGAATTCAAGTTTTGTTGAACTTGAATATGTTGATTTTTAATTTTATTTCTTTAATTTTATTCATTAAAAAATGGTGTATGTTCAACTCTCCTGTGATATAAATGGAATAATTGTACTTTCTTTCATGTCATTATTTCAAACGAGACAGTATGTGGCTGTGGGGATACATCGACATTTGCATTAGATGTAGCCTACATACACCCCTCTGACATGATAATATTGTACGCATTTCTTTCAATGTCGTCGCTTCTGAAGTTAAAATGAAAATTCCGTATTCGTCCACATTAACTTCAAAATATCAAACATTAAACTCTTCATCTATTTCAATTTATATCAAATCCCACATTGATATTTTTTTAAAATCTTACAGGCTACGTTTTGTTTTGATTCGAGGAAATGCGAACCGACATTGTTGACAGAAAGTCAAAGTTACGATTTGCTGCAATAGGATATTCATAAATGCAGATAATTTCAGTACAAGTGAACAATTCTTTTCAATTTTATACTTACATTATGTATATGAGGTCTATAGTATTCAATTCTCGGATTTATCAAGTCTTGCTGTAAATGTATCTGATTCTGTGAAAACCGTGAATAAAGGGAGGAAAATAAACATCTCCTACATTTTCAGAGTTGTTCCTCTTTGATCAGTAAGGGTCTGAGAACAACATCGATTTTACATTGTAAAAAGTTTTTTGTTTATAATATTTATTGTTGTTTTATTTAATCAAAGAAGAAAAACAATATTTATATCGTGTATGCACAAATTGTAATGAAGACCATTAATCGGAATGTTATATAGCCAGTTGTACATAATGAGAATTTCGGCAATGTAAAATAAAATTTTCAGAATAAAAAAAAATGCTGCGCTTTGATCAAAAATACAATTTATTGTATATGAAATGAAATGAAATAAACATTAAGGGGTGGTATTTTATGTCTTCATTTTTACGGAGTTTAATCAGGTTAATTAAAAAAATACTTATTGATTGAGTATGGTACGCACAATCACAGCCAAGCCCCATATCTCAATTTTCTTTCATGATTGATATACATCGGGATCGTTTTACTCGTCGTTTTGACGCTTTATTTTTGACGTTAAATTTGACGTCACGTCAAACGTTTAAGGTAGGACACAATAGATAGGCCAAATTTTTCCTCAAATTCAATTTTCCTGAAACTTTGATATTTTGTTCTAGGATACAAAAGCTCTCTTTATATATGATATGAAAGAAATTCAACCGCACATTTTTTGCCCACTTAGTCTGAAATATGGCCTATCAGACCCCTGCGAGAAGATTGTGAAATCAGACATTAGACTTGAGAATGAGCCTTATTTTAGAATTATCAATTGATCTATTGCAAATTTGTGTAAGACTTTTAATAAAGATATCCTTTTTGTTGCTTTAAGTTAGTAAGTCAACTTGATACTAGGAAATTTGAGTAAAATATTAAGGAAAAATAGAACATACGTAGCGTCGGAATTGAAAATTCACATGTAAATATCCGACAGTTTAAGTTTTCTAAAGAGAAAATGTATAATTCAATTTCTACAAAAAATCAACAGAATGATTCAAATGGGTCCTAGAATAAAATGTGTAAAAATAAAGAAAATTGAACCCGGTGGTTTCAGATATTTTGGCGATCAAAAAAATTTCAATGGCAAAAAAACTCAAAGATTCATTAGATGACGTCACAATATTTGACCTTTGACCTCTTGATATGACCTTGACCTTAGTAGTACATAAAGTACGGAGACTCCTTATATATGTATCCAAATATCATTCCTTTACTATGTATGGAACAAAAGTTACACTGCATTTTATAACAGACAGTCACATGCTTGTTTATTACACTTATTTAGCATAAAAACAATCCAAAAATGTGAGCCCCCAAGTGACCATTATTTAGGATTCTCTGATTTTTTCACAAAATATAACGCAAACATTCCAAAACTTATTATATTTCTTACAGGGTTCATTTATTGTTGTCAATATAGCAATATTCTTCTTTTCTCAGGGACTTCATCAGAAATGGGTTAACGAGGCTGGGGTGTGGCAGCCATTTTCAGACTATTTTTATCTCCTTTAAAAGAAGAGCTCCATATACAGATATAAAAAATGATCAAATTTTAAAAATAAAATATCTGAATTTTTTCCTTGCCAAATGATAGTTGACAGCTTAAGATACCGTATGTAAAAAAATAAGTTAAATCTGGTGGTTAATTTATGATTAATTTGTTGACCCCCCAGCCTCCTTAAAATAGAATCCACGGGTGTTTTGTCCTACCTTAATTGAAATCGCAAGAGTTATCTCCCCCAGTGTGTCGTACGTCTTTAATGAATTTGAGAAAAAGCAACTTCAATCTAATTTGATATTGTATAATAAACTAATTTGAAATTGTATGAAAAAAATTAATTTATATTGTTTAATATGATTAAAACTAATTATATTGTGTGTGTATGTGGGGGTGGGGTGGGGGGGATTGGAATCAGCATGCTCATTATCCACATTAATTTCAGATTGAAACTTTTAGTATGATATAAAATCCAAATAAATCAAGTATTTAAAAAAAAAAATTTTGGTAGACAGTCCCTACAAATCTTAAGAATCATGCAGGAACCTTATTCAAAATGATGCATCAAGATTACACAATTTTTTTCAGTATAAATCTTTGTAACAAATTTATACAAAATCTTTGTTTTCAGATTTAATTTCAGAATGACACATGCAATAATGCATTTTGCAATAATGCATTTTGTTTGCACTACAAAGGAGAAGGTTAAGATCCATTCATCCCTTGATAGCAATTAGTGGGCATGCATCCAGTCAAAGATTAATTAATGAGTTCTATGTAGGGAAGCTTAAGCTGTCCCAATCATTTCTGTTAGAGCATATCTCTGTTAAAGGAGCTCTTATCTGTGTCCTTTGGGAATTAGACAGAAGAATTGCTGGTCAGTTTAAATAGCATTTGTCATTTGATGGCCAGTCTCCTATTTCTAAAATCAATTTGGTATAGATCAAGTTTTTAAGACATATTAGTTAAATTGATTTTTTTTTTTTTTTTGAAAATATCAAGTGACCAATTTCATATCATTATGTCCCACATGAAAGGCATGCGTATATGTGTATGTTTGTGGAGGAGGGGCATTTGTCAAGCTTTAATGTAACCAGTTGATGATTATTTGTTAGAATTGAAGCTTGCACCACAGGAGATGTTTAAACAATTATTAAAAGGAATGGAAAAATTATGCAAATCCCTTTAAAGGTTGACATGATTTTCTTGCACTTTAAACTGTTTATAATAATTGAATTAACAATATTTGATGGGAGTATCATGCTGAGGCTGACTGCACTTTATTATTTTTAAAATGAATATGATATAAATTTATATAGATTAATTTGATTCTGTATAATGTTTTTTCAACAATCAATTTGCAAATAGTTGCATTTTATTTTTTCAATGAAATAAAAAAAAAAACTGTTAAAATGTATTAGACTAAGTATTGATGTTTTATTTGGTTGCACCTCAGTTTCATTAATTAAAAAAAATATATAATGAGCACTCAAATTGTTTCTAAGAAAATAGTGAGCACCTCTTTTTAGATCTATTGGACAGTTCTAGTTTCCACTAAATTTAATGCAATTACAGTATTTACAATCTACCTTCCAAAGATGAAAAAAAAAAGTTTGACATGCATTATCTCTAGCTCACATTTCTTTTGCAATGACATAACATTGATTTATTCTTACAGATACCTGAATGCTATCCAAACAACATGTCCACACATCCTTAGATATTTAACCACAGCAGTCATTACAAACAAAAGTAGACGAAGGACTGTCATGAAAGATTTAGTCAAGGTCATTCAACAGGTAATGATTTACATGTTTAAAATCAAACTTCTATCAAGAACTATCTAGATAAGATTGCAGAAACAAGGGAGGGAAAAAAACATTTTAAATGATTAACTTTGTAAAATAAGAGGAAGAGTTACTTATCTTACTTTTTAAACCAAATTCTTTTTATTGATGCAGGAAAGCTACAAATACAAGGACCCCATCACAGAGTTTGTGGAATGTCTCTATGTCAACTTTGACTTTGATGGAGCTCAACAGAAACTTAGAGAATGTGAAGAGGTGAGATATATGTAGACATGTATCTCTTAGAACCTGAAAAGACAATCAACTGGAATTTTCTTGTTATTCGATGTCCTTTTCCCTGTGAACAGACATTTCTTTATGTACCTATAATTTTTGAATTCTTGACCTTGACACCCTGGAGTTTGATGTACATTTGGTATAAAAACTTTAACCTTGCCTATAACATTGGAATGGTTGGTGCACAGCTAGGGCTTTTACATATAAATATCAACCCTGTGACAAATTTTTCATTGCTACCAATATGTACTAGTAATTCTGACCTTATGACCTTGGAAGTTTGAACTGGCAATATTTTCTGAATGGTTAGTGCTAGGGCTTTCTTATTTCACACTTTTAATACCTTGATACAAAATTTTTTGTTAATAGTAACCAACTTTTAACTTTGACATTGAGTTGGACCTTCATTTGTAAAAATAATAACCTTAGCCTTAAGCTGCCATAGCGGGGCTTAAGAGTTTCACAAACACCTCTAGTTAAATAAGAAGTAGTCTCCAATAAGATTATTCATTAAACTTTTACTTTGTCCATTATTAAAATAGAATTATTTGATTTACAGGTGCTGGTGAATGATTTCTTTTTGGTGGCATGTTTGGATGACTTCATTGAGAATGCTCGCCTGCTGATCTTCGAAACTTTCTGTAGAATACATGAATGTATTAGCATAAAGTAAGTTTGTTTACATAACAGTTACAGCTTAAAAAGCAGTGTGTTGATCTGACTGCTTCTTAGGAGGGGAATAGGGCTTAAATAAATGTTCATGTACTCTGTTTGCCCCTTCCAATTAGTGTACTATATCCCTCTACAGTAAAACTCAGTTATAACGAAGTCACTGAGACCTATGAAATTACTTCGCTATATCCGTAATTCGTTATATCCGTATAAGGATTCATTAAATTTATATAGTTGGGGATCCAAGATAACTTAGCTATATCCATAAATTTGCAATATCCATGTTTTTACTAAACAAGTTTTAATGTACAAAAAATATTTTTACAAATTATGGTCTGAAAGAAAATGTTAAATAATGCTATATCTCTGAAGCATTTATTTTAATCATTAAAAGTAAATTAACTTTAAGAATTATTAACTACTGTAATATGCCCTTTGTGCCTTCCAAATCTGAACTCGGTGCCTTTCAAGTTTATTGAGTTGCACAAGCTATAGTAAAAATTGGAAGCACCATTTAGAGACAACTGATTTGTAAATAGTTCTAATTTTTTGACCTTTTGTAATACAGCATGCTGGCAGAGAAGTTGAATATGACAGAGGAAGATGCTGAAAGATGGATTGTAAACCTCATAAGGAATGCTCGACTGGATGCTAAAATTGACTCAAAACTGGTTAGTTAAAAAGTTAATTTTAAGGTATAAAAAGACAATAGCTAATAGTTTAAAATGGTTTTGATCCTTAAACTTTATTAACTGAAAATTTCCAATAAAAAAATATATTGTCCTTTATAAAAAAACAAATTTTTAGGATCAGCTCTTTTATAATATTTTACAATTAGAGAATGATTATTTGTCATCAACAGGGCCATGTTGTGATGGGAGCACAAGCTGTGTCCCCGTATCAACAAGTCATCGAGAAAACCAAAGGCTTGGCATTCAGATCACAGATGCTTGCCATGAATATTGAAAAGAAACTGGGAATCAAAACTGGAGATGTAAGTAGACAGTTCAAGGGAAATAACTCTAAATATTAGTTGAAATAAATCTTTTCAATGGCAAGATGTGATAGACTTTCTACTGACAAGAAAAGCACGCAGTTGTAAGTAATTTAATAGGAACTGGAAATTGCAACTAAATTAGAGGAAGCAAATTTACAAGTATTGCTTGGTCTTTATTTCAATATTCCTTTTATATTCAATGAGTTTCTCTTTTTTTAGCTACCACAGTGGGGACAGGAGTAATCACATAGAAATTTCCATTTTTCCGCCATCGAGTCATGAAATACAACAAAAGTGCTGATTATCTGTGTGCTACCATGGATGCAACAGTGATATATTGGATTGAGTTCAATAGACTATGGATTAATTTATTACAAAATATGACCTGGAAAATTAAACGGAAAATGAAGTAATAAATTATTAATATTTTTTTCTTTGTTGTGTTGTTATAATTTCTTGAAAATCAGAGTTGAATATTCATTTTATTCTTCTAAGAAATTTGATGTATCAGACAGATATGGGGTTACTCTAAAATGACCAGTTAAGGTCTATTGCAATGGGACATAAAAATTTGTTTAACCTTTTTATGTTCATGAATTTTAAAAACAAACTATTTTTAATAGTAGGTTTTTTTTTTCAAGATAAATATCTAGTGTAGAAGTTAACATTTTAATAATTCTGCTTTAAAGTTTTTTTTCTTCATATTTTTAGCTCTACTGGTCAGAGACCAGAAGAGCTTATGCGATAGTAATGCGTCCGTCGTCCGTCCGTCTGTCTGTCTGTCTGTCTGTCCGTCTGTAAACAATTTTTCAAAATGCTACTCCTCGTACAGTTTTGGTCTGATTTCAATATAACTTGGCACACAAGTAGACTACACTAAGATACATAATTCTGTGTATCGGTTTTTGATTTCGATGAACGGTGTTGCCATGGTTACTAAAAATAGAATTTTCTGTGAAATTCTTTCAAAATGCTACTCCTCCTACAGTTTTGGTCTGATTTCAATATAACTTGGCACACAAGTAGACTACACTAAGATACATAATTCTGTGTATCGGTTTTTGATTTCGATGAACAGTGTTGCTGTGGTTATTAAAAATAGAAATTTCTGTGAAATTCTTTCAAAATGCTACTCCTCCTACAGTTTTGGTCTGATTTCAATATAACATGGCACACAAGTAGACTACACTAAGATACATAATTCTGTATATTGGTTTTTTATTTCGATGAATGGTGTTGATGTGGTTACTAAAAATAGAAATTTCTGTGAAATTCTTTCAAAATGCTACTCCTCCTACAGTTTTGGTCTGATTTCAATATAACATGGCACACAAGTAGACTACACTAAGATACATAATTCTATGTATCAGTTTTTCACTTCAATGAACGGTGTTGCCGTGGTTACTAAAAATAGAAATTTCTGTTAAATACTCTCAAAATGCTACTCCAAATACAGTTTTAGTGTGATTATAATATAATGTGGCATGCAAGTAGACTACACTAAGAACATAAAGAGACTTAATCAAGGATCATTATTCTATTTATTGCTGTAGAAAAGTTTCAATTCCCAACTGCTTAAGTACTTTTCTCTTCCTTTGCTATAAGTACAAACCAGTTGAGCTTCCGTCTCGACAGAGACTTCTGGTTTAGATTTTTATACAATGGGATATATAGCATTTTATAAGAAATCCATCTTAATACATGTTGACAATATTATGGTATATTTTTGGCAATATACAAGATTAGTAATACTCAAAACTGACAAAGGTACTCCATAGTTGAAAGTATGACAGTGAGTAAGAGAGAGATTGGGAATATTTTAGATTTATTGATTGGGTTTGAGGGAACAGTCAATGAATAGTTTGTTATACCTTTTATTTATGTTTTTACCTGCAAATATGTTTTGCTGGCTTCTGTTATGTAAATTTCATTTACCAGCACTGAGGTTAAACTCGAACAATTCCGTCATTGCCAAACACCAACGAATGCTTAAGAGATTTGGCTGATCCCGCCCAAGGTGTGACGTAAGCTGTCCAATATCGCATCTTTTTTAAGGACCGTTCAATAAAACATGCAATCTAATTAAAATCAGACTTCTTAGATCCGCGCCGTATACACTCTGCGTTTTCTTACACATATTGTATATGGCGTGGATTTAAGAAATCTGATTTTAATTAGATTGATAAAACATGGGAATTGCAGGGGTTATTTTTCAAGAAAAGATTTATATAGGAACTAGTTTTTAAAGGTATAACAATATATCGTATTGTAATTATCAATAAAAATGTATTAAAAATTACATGTACTCAATATTAATGCGAAATTGGATAGTGAAACTATGACGCGAAAGTAATTTTACAATGATTTCCCTGAAATACACTGAGCGCACATCCAATGCCTTCTCCAAACTGAAATTAATGTTTGATGCCTTAACCACATTATGACATAGTTCTGATGCTTACACAAACTCCAATTATTGTAGGTTCATTTCTTGGTTAATTGTAATCTGACACCACGTATGCCGTTCCCGATTCTTTGAAACCAAAATACAGTCAAGTTAACGCTAATTAAAATTTTTAATTATAGTTAAAAGACATCTGCTTATAACGATACTGATCTTTTACTTCCACTACAATATCAGAGTTTGATATCTAAATTTCATATTTCTTTCTTTAGAAAGTGCTACTCGTCCTTAAATATTGTGATAAATTCGGCTGTACACTGTCTCTTATTGTTACCACTCGTTATATGTCAATACTCGACGAATAATGCGAAGACCCGTTTTGTCATTTGAAAAATGGTAACAAAATTAGCAATCGGACGTTTTCTTGCGGTAAACAGGGCCCCGTTATGTCAATTTCAGCGTAATTGTCAAAAATGGGACAACTGTGTAAAATGTATTTTGTACTAAAACCATTGAAAGTGTCCTAACTTTAAAATCTTCTGCCAGTAATTACTTGATTGAATTTAGGGAGATATGTTTTTAAATCTTTGTTGGGGACGTTTAAAAGCACCAGACTTGTAAAAATAGCTGAATAAACGCTCCACTCTCGTGTTTCCTCTAAGTTGACCTTTTCCATTTTTCTCATGAAATTATACAGATTTTCATGTTATATTTTTTATCGGAATGCATTATTTTCTTTGGGGGTGTGTCAATTTCTTCTCTTCGATGACCCTCAAATAGGATCGACCTCGTTTGGATTGAAAAGATTAAAAGACAGCTACTTTGGAGGGCATTTTTATTGATGCCTTCAATATTTAAAACGAGTCGATTTGAGAAATCAGACGAAAATGGGAGAAGATTAAGTGCATTTTTGAGCAAAGAAGCTTTGGAGAATTTTTTTAAGATCCAGTAAATATTGTGTTCGTACATTGTTGATGCCCCACAGTTATTATCAAGAAAAGTCTTTATGAAAAGACAGTAAAGATAAACGTTTAAAAATTACATCTTTTAATATTATAAATTTTGCTACTATCTGAAAAATTACTTGTGCGTTTTCTTGATCATTTGTGCGCCAAATCACGCGGTATATTGATAGGCGGGACTTATGTTTTGACAGACAGTCATAGTTTTCAGGTGCCAAAAGTTGGAAACGCAGAGAATAGGTATAATACTTGAACGTCTTCAAATATTCCATGCAGGTTTCAAATGCAATGAAGAATTAATTTTTCCCCTTGGATTTTATATTAGAAGAACTGAATCAAGGCAATCATGGGTTGACATTTATTTTTCTACAAAAACCACACACACATCAAAACCCACGTGTTCTTTACCGAATGTTTACTGCAGTGTGAAACAATTGTGTATATTTCTTATTCCAAATTGTTTGGATTAATATAATAATATCAATGTTGGATTTAACTTTTCGTCAAAATAATGTAGGATGAATTGTGTGAGACTGGTGCTTCTTCTGTTTTGTATAGTAACGGATCTGCATGTTGGAAGAGCGGGGATGGAGAATCGGCATACTCGATGTGAGTTTAACTAGCATTTACATCAAGGTCTTTTTCTGTTGTAACATATATAACAAGGTATTTTTCTGTGCTTCTTGCACTCTGAGAGAAATAATGTCCACCTACATATCCTTCAGGATATCTTGCTACGTGATGAAAACAGATAAAAATGTCCTCGTCAGGCTCGTGTATTTAAAAAAGTCCGTTAAAAACCTAGGTTCTGCTTTTTTAATAATAGCGCGATTTGTTAGTTTTATTTTGGTAAAGAATTCGCAAAAAAGAAAACTTGGGGGAGATAGGTAATTATTGATATTGTTCACATGGCAAAATTAGTCATCTTTAACTCAAAATCTTTGTATGTCGAACAAAGAAAGAGACACGGACGGAATTTTAAGCAGAAAGAATAATTTGAGCTGCGAGATAGATAGAGATGTAATTATACTGTCTAGATGGAAATCCAAACCCTGCACTATAGAAGTGGTATTAATTAACACCCTTCAAACGTGGCAATTTGTGGGTAAAGGCGGTTCTAAAAAAGTGAATAGTCTATTTACCAAAAGATCCGAACCTGCAAATCCAAACTTGTTTCTTGCACGTGATAGCGCCTGTTAATTACACATCAATTGGAAGGAAATTTACACTAAGAAGGTCTAGACCAAAAAGATGGGGAATTATCTTTTGTTATTCAAAGTCTGTTGTTTATTGCAGAGAATTATAGGGTATACATCCGTAGATACCAACCTGTCAGGAAATCAACGCGAAAGAGACGCACAATGCATAGAACTTTCATGTTGAACGGCTTCTCCTACACATGTACATAGGCAAAAAAAACGGAGAAGCTGACCCACGTGTATAGCAGTGTTTCTAATTACTTCGTGTATCACCTCTTTTTTTTTTCCTTTTTGATGTTTCTTATAGCAAGTTCTATCTATTAATCCAACTTCATTTCAATGCACATGGCTTGAACTTTGCTGCAACGTGAAGTCGCTAATGTACACTTTGTCCAATGTTAGCGCTGCTAACAAGCCATAATTCAGGCTTTGTATCTAAATCTTATCAAAGATATTTATATCAGTTGCATCGGTTCCGAACTTCCCTTCCAAATCGTCGCGGAGGAGATTTTCCCGTGTAAATTAAAAAATAACGCAGAATTTTAAGTGCAGAAACACCTCTTAAAAACGTAAACTCACACGCGAATTTTGAACAATGAGTTTTTAAAATTATTTTTTGAGAAGCAAGACATTGCAAATAATTTGCCGTAAAAAATAGTGCAAACATTGAGAAATCTACCTGGAATGAGAATTAAATATTTTTTTTTCCAACCACATAGATGGTCATGAACTTAAATTATTTCTAGACGGCTAAAGGGGATAATAAACGCTGTATATATTAAAGTTCAAATGTATGTCAGTATACACAGTCTTGAGCAGTTCCCCTAGGAAGATCGAGAATAAGAATTCATTTCCAATTCTTTGTCAAGATAAATAATAACTAAACCTTTAGTGAGATTTTCCTATTTCTTTGCCCATTACATGGATTTTAAGAACCAGGGTAAATGATTCAATTTAAGTTTACTATTGAAACAAACCTAAACATCTTAAGGGCATTTTCTCTAATTCTTTTCTTTTTTCATCCTATTTTGTTGTGGACTTTAATCCTTGTGAAAAGGAAAGCAGGTTTATCTTCTTTTGATATACACATTCCTATTGTCATGGTGGGCTCACTCTCGTCCGATTGAAATATATAGGCCCTATAATCACTCAATCTCAACCGATATTTTTTTTAATTTTTGAGAATTTGAAATCACAATATTTATTGTGGATCTGCTGCCAAAATTCAATAAATGTGTGAAATATTATTTTCATGTAAAGAATATTAATGTTACTGAAGAAACAACGTACCAAATTTGTAAATTCTTTATTTGAAATTTTGTTTCAAATAATTTTAACTAAATAACGAAGAAAGGTAATTGAAATATAAAACTTAGTTTTTTCTGCTACTTAACTTATTTTTGATATAAGTATTTACGGGTGAAAACGGGTGGTTTTTTAAATTAGTTGTTTATAAATACAAACAACTCTTTTAAATACAAGCTGTTTTGCCTTGTTCATCATCTGTATATTATAAGTATCCTATTATATCATTTTCTCTTTCATTCGGTTTCTCTATCTCTCTCTCTCCATCTGTCTGGTCTGTCTAGATGTCAATCTGTCTGTCCGTCTCGGAGTATCTTCTCTCTCTATGATGCATTTAAGTAAGTATTTTCAATTCTGCTTCTATGACCATTTTTATGCCTTCATATATAATTTTCAACAATAACGCAACAGTTTTATTACATAGATTTCCTTCTTATCCTTTCGTATAAGACCCCAAGTCTTAAAAGTCAAAATCCTCTAGAAGTTAGTCACTTGCTTTTAGAGCGCACCTGCATCGACGTCTTGCTATACAAACATATTAGAAACATTTTTATGCCATCTCCCCATAAGCCAGTTATATTTCCTTGAAAGTAGATACATTTGTTCTGGAAGATTAAATCATTATCATCAAACTGTGTGGTTATTCTGTACTCGTGTTTTCGATATTAGCCCGTTCTGTGGTTGAGAATCTCGCAGGAGACCTTCTTAATGGTTTTTGCTAACACTTGGACTAATATAATTTTTAAAGTAAGCTTATGATGGCGATAACGGTATAATTAAACTCCAACTGATTTTCGTGCCTTGACTTCGGATAGGAACTCATTAAAAATGCTAAAAATCACATCAAAGGGACATTTGTTTGAAGAGGATGGTTGCATACAATACTTAGCCTACGTGTATTTCATTTTCATTCATACAGTTTTATTGCCTTGGTGTTGGCTTTTTGTTTTTGTTATTATTTTTTTAATAAAAAAAATCAGTTCTTCACACTTTGGCGCACGAAAAATTGATATAGAAGAGACAGGAAGTTCGTGATGCCATTTACGCATCAATTTTGAGTCATTCGGTATGAGGAATTTTGACGAGTACTTTTTGCAGTGCTGCAGTTATGTGTCATTTCACTAAACGATTTAAGAAAGGAAGAAAAACTATAAAGACAATTGTCTTCCACGATATCCTTGTTATTCATGACAAATGCTGAAGACGTGTCAAAAAATCGAAATTCCATAAACACCAAACCATTTACATGTAATGTAATAGAAGTCGAGAATTCATGTCTTTGGTGATCGAGGATATTGTTATTGAAATTTTGGATACTAATTATTCCATTACAAATAAAGCTGTAAAAAAACTTGATAACTGTGTTATTTGCCTCAACCAAACCAATTCCTAAAATGCTGCAAATGGTTCTCAGATTTAAAAAAAATGATTTATTAGTTTACTATTTATTTATTTTATTTTATTTTATTTTACCTAAATTCTAAATTTTAACATTTGTATATATAGCAAATTAATAACACCTATTATAATATTTGGGTTTGATTAATTGTTCTGCATATTCGATAAGACACAGAGGTTATAAAATGTCCATAGTCCCAATGAACATTTAAAACAGTCATTTTTAAGTAAAATTATTTAAAATATTTCCATATCTCCACGATAAAATGACATTTATGATTAACGCGGTAAAAGATAAGAGAGTTTTCGAACCATATTCTTTACCTCTTTTCAAAACCTTCTCTTGAATCATCTTTATAATCTCGAATTTTTCGCTAGATAAAAATACACATCATGCGCGGACATTCTTTATGCAAAGTGGCATTAGCTTTTGACCTAACTAAAACCGAGGTGAATATTTTTCTCGTCGAATATAATTTTGATATTGAAATGTAGTTCAATTGGGCTATTTTATAAACCCATTGTTAGAGCTATTCTTTCTATATATATTTTTTTCAAAATAAACCAAATAAATTAAAAAAAAAAATAGATCAATATAATGAAGAGAAAAGGATTTTCGAGTTTGATTGTTTCTCCAAAGCATTCACATTTACATGCAGGAAATAATATATATGAACAAAATAAATCAAAATAACTTTTTATATATAATATATCAAATTTCCTGCTTATCCTTTTTATTATTCAGATGTCCGTTTTCATTTTTAAAACGAAATGATAAAAATCTCCCTTGTCTTTTTCTGCTATGTATTCACATTTAGGCTTTTATCTTCTCTTGATATCTTCCCTTTTCCTTTTTAGCAACAAACTTAATATGTATGATCAGAATGAGAAAATGAAATCTACTTTAGATGTCAAAGTCACCATTCAAAACTTTTGCGAAACATTTACCAAGATGATACAATTACAAGAACAAAACGATCCTTTGGTTTTCAGCAAAACATATGTATTAAAAGTGGTTTGATTTTTAGAATTCATGCGATTCAGAGAAAAAAATCTTATTCGTTAAAATACTAGTAATTCCGTTCGATCTCCATTAAAAATTATTTTTTCTCTGTCGATTTTTATCGAAATGTACACAAAAATTTAATCAAGGATCATATCATATTAAAGTAGGAAAACGGCTGTCTTTGTAATTAGGAATGAAGGTTATAGATGTATTTGGCATAAATTATCCTTGATGTCGGAGCGTTGGTATTAATTTTCAGGGTAATGGAATTGTTTTTATGGTGGCATATTTCTGCCCCCTACATGCAAAATAAATTTGGTCAACATGTCACTTTATAAAATGTGTGTTCTAACATGACAATTTACAATCTAAAACTGCTTCATGATCCTGGGGCCTGGCCTATCATCTAGATTATTATTCTTTCTGTAAGAGTTGAGCCTAGTTCATCTAATATACTAGCCTATGGACGATTGCTTTTTAATTTCATAAAAAGCGTTTCCTTTATAAAAACCCTAGCCAAATTAAAACAAGACGTGCTTGTGAAACACTATTGCCCCTGCTTGGCAGCTTATGGCGAAGAATATAGTTTCTTAAATGCGAGTTTAAGTCCAAGGTCAAGGTCAAAGGATCAGAAATATTATTAGTCAAATAAAGGACTCGATGAATATACATGTTCTTGTGAAAAAAAATATTAAGGCCTT